GTCCCAACTGTGAGATTCTATTTTTATGATGTTAAGATAATGCTGATGACCAAACCTAAAGAAATGGGCTGTCAAACATATAAGGCAATATAACTGGTTGTTTAAAAAAACCAAAAAAAAAAAAACCCTGTGCTGGGAGATGGCCCCTGTTCTAGTCTTATCTTTGCTAATAACTAATGCATACCTTTGAACAAATTACTTAACCTCACTAATGTTTCAATTTCTCAGCACATAAAAGAGGTATAATACTTGCCAACCTTACTCTAGAAGAATGTTATGAGGAAAATTGAGATAAAATATGTGGAGATATTAAGACATTTTTTTTAAAAATTATAATTAAATTTTTAGGATTCATCCTTTTTCATCTCGATGCAACTTCTAACACTACTGAAAGCCCCCTCCTCCCAGAATATATCTCCTCCCTGGGTTTCAGTGACACTGTTCTCTCCTGACTCCCCTCCTACCTTTCTGAGGACTCCAGTCTCCGGTATCATCTCATCATCCTGTCTTCTCTCTGTGAAGGGGTGTACTACAATGTCTTGTCAGAGTCTTCTTTGCCTCTTCCCCAATGGTAATCTCACCAGCTACAGTAAATTCCATTAGCATCTGTAGTCAGGTAACTCTCAAACCTGCATACCCTACATTGCTCTCCTAATCCTGAGTCCTACAGTCAACTGCCTGCTGGATATCACCTCAGAATGTCCCTTAGCTATCTCCAACTCAACAGGTCCAAAATAGAAGTGTTTTGGTTTTTTTTTTTTGCATTTGAATTAATCTATTTAAATGTTTATAGTTGCAAAGCAAACGTAATTCTTTGAACTTGTGTTTAACCTTGACTTTTTCAATTGGGGGCAAATCTTCACACACAAGCAAATCCAAGTTAAACTAAACTGCATTTTTGTTATACTGAAATCCACAGCCCACATGCTGATACTGCACTCGATGTTCATTTAAATGTTTTTCTATTATTAACGATGTGCTAAAGAGAACTTCTCCCAGGGAATGATGGCGCTGAGTCAGCCCACGACAAGGGCAGACAAAGGATGCCATTCTTGCAATGGCTTCAAGGTCTGAGAGCTCCAAACCTGAGTTGCAGACACTCAGCTGAGATTCTTCTGTTCCTAAGGAAACCCCAAAGTAAGCGGCTGCTGCAGACCTAACATTCCCTGCATACAAATCGGCCTGAGCTCCTCCTGGGGTTCGCAGGTCTTCTTGAATGAACGCAACTTTTGGAAGAAATGAAGGCGGTCACACCTCTTCAAGAGGTAGGCTGGACGTTTGGGCCAAGGGCGGGCCTAGACGACCCCTTGGAAACGGAAGCAGTGGCTGGCGATCTCCCACACCACGTCGGTCAGCATGGCCTAGGCCTCAGCAGGAACTTCTGGTGGAAACAGCTCGGCCTGCTGCCCTCGAACTTGACCGAGCTGAAGATGACCACGAGCACCGTGGCCTGGCTAGGAGACATTTGCTTGTGTCCGATCGGCAGTCCAGCACGTGGATCTGGGGCTAGCTGGACAGCAGCGCCTCCAAGAACACGCTCAGGGCCCCAGGAGCGCGGCAGGCCTGGTCCACCGAGGTCTGGAAATCCACCAAGGCCGCCATCTGGTCTTCCATTCTAATCACCAGGGACAGGCCTCAGGTCTCTCGGAGTGGGGGGCGGGGTGTGAGGGAAGGGAGGGATGGGGAGCCCAAGCGGAGGCAAGGGGCAAGAAGAGCCCCGGGGAAAGGCAGAGGAAAGGGAACGTCCAACCAGAAGTGCCCGGGAGCGGGGCCTCTGGGAAGCCCCTCTCCCAGGAAGCCCCTCCTCTACGAAGCTCCCCCTCCCACAGGATAAGGGCTCCAGGAAGGGAAGTTCCACCCCCCAGGAAGCTCCTCCCACACAAAAAAAGACTTCCAAGAAAGTCCCCTACAGAATATAGTTTCAGGAAGCTCCTCCCCCAAGAAGCTCCTCCCCCAAGGAAACTGCTCCCTTAAGAAGCTTTTCCCACAAGAAATGGGCTCCAGGAAGCTTTTCACTTGGGATAAGGGTTGCAGGAAGCTCCTCCCCTAAGAAGGTTCTCTTACAAGCTTCTCGCCATGAAGCTCCTTCCACAGGAGATTCCAGGTAGCTCCTCCCACAGAGTAAGAACTCCAGGAAGCTCCTCCCTCCAAGAAGCTCCTCCCACAGGAAGAAAATTCTAGGAAGCTCCTCCAATAGGGTAAAGGACTCCAGGAAGTCCCACCCCACAGGAAGGGGATTCCAGGAAGCTCCTCCTGTCCCGTGCTTAGCACCTTGGTTCAACTGTATTCAGTTCTGCTTTTGACCTCTTAATCATTATTTTCTTACCAAACTTTCCTTTCTTCCTAATTTCCTTATGCATACAGATGGCCCTAAAAATGGCATCCATCTCCCAGAATTGTGGTGAGGATCAAATGATTGCAGATAATTGCAAAGCACCTAGCATAGTGCCTGGAACAAAATGGTGCTCCAGAAATGCTTATTTCCTTCCTTAGTTTTCTTCCAACCTTAGAGTCATCCAAAGCTCCCTTATCTCATCATTTCTCTCCAATACGTCACCAAGGCTAAGGGGCATGTGACTCCTCTCCGCACACCACCTCAGCACAGGTTCTCACCAGCTCCAGCCTGGACTATTGCAATAGTTCCCTAAAGGCTCTGCCTTCTCTTTCCAATCCATCCTCCACACAGCTATCAAATTGTTATTCCTAAAATACAGGTCTGGCCCTGTCACTCTCTAGCTCAAGAAGCTTTCTATGAATTGTAGGATAAAATACAAACTCCACCCTTTGGCATTTTAAATCTCCTCTTAGGCTGTGAGTTCCTTGAGGGCAGGGATTGTCTTTTGCCTTTCTTTGTTTGGCCTGCACTTAATGCAGTGCCCAACACTTAGTAGGCATTAGTTGACAGACTTAATAATCTAGAAGTTGCTGATTTTCCCAAAATTTACATCATTTATCATCATAAAATAGCTGGCTTTTTTTTTTTTTTTTGGCTAAGCAATGGGGTTAAGTGACTTGCCCAAGGTCACACAGCTAGTAAGTGTTATGTGTCTGTGGGCCGGATTTGAACTCAGGTCCTTCTGAATCCAGGGCCAGTGCTCTATCAGTGGATAGAGCCACCTAGCTGCCCCTAATAGCTGGCATTTTACAGAATGTTAAAGTTTGCAAAGTGCTACACAAATATTATTTAATTTTATCCTCACAACAGCCCTGCAAGGTATGTGTCATTATCTCCATTTTACAAATGACAACAGTGAAACACAGGTTAAGTAACTTGCCTAGGGTCACACAGCTAGGATCACATTACTACACTGATTTAAAGCCCTGGGTTGTAGCCATACTGGCTTACTTGGTAATCTGGTGATCCCACCTTCTGCCTCTATGTGCTTTTGCACAGACTATCGCCTATGCCTCTATTAGTCTCCTTCCTCACTTCCTCCTCTTTCAGTCCCTTGCTTGCTTCAAGGCTCAGCTCAGGGTCCCTGAACACTGCTCCCCCCCCCACCTGTTAGTGCTACTCCCACAAATTTACATTTACAGTACATTATATGTGTGTATATATATATATATATATACACACACACACACACATATATACATATACATACACACACACATATATATATTTATATATACTTTGCATTAGATTCCTCTACCACCTACCCAGTAGAATGTAAATTCCTTGAGGGCAGGGATATTTTATTTTTTTTATTTTTCAGCCCTGGCGCTGGGCCTTCTACATAATAGGCTTGATCATCATAAATGGTGGGTGAATTGCTGACATGAATCTTTATAGTTTCCAGGCTTATGATTAGAAACCTATTCATGTAACTTGATTCAGATGAATCTTAAAGCTATAGATTTGGGGTGTGTATTCCCCTTCCTCCCAAACCTACTATGTCTAGTGGTGATGGAAATACTTTTTTTTTTTAAATCCTTCCTCTTCTGTTCTGTTGGACAGAATCCTAGTAGCTTGAAAATATCCGTGTATCTCTTTCCCCAAGTGTAGGGTAGGAGGTCTCTTGAGCACCTTTATAGTAATTTTTCAGTCATGACCCACTCTTTGTGACCCCATTTGGGGTTTTCTTGGCAAAGATACTGGAAAGGTTTACCATTTTCTTCTCCAGCTCACTTTTCAGATGAGGAAATTGAGACAAACAGGGTTAAGTGAGTTGCCCAGAGTCACACAGCTAGTAAATGTCTGAGGTCAGATTTGAACTGAGGTATTCCTGACTCCAGGCCTGGCATTCTATCTACTGTGCCAGCTAGCTCTCCACCTGTAATAATACAGTCCATAAAATATATGTTTTGTCTCTAAGCAGAAAATGGAAGTTTCTCAGTGAGAAAAAGGCATGCTGTGAAGTCTAGATTTCCAGTATTTCCAAAGTGTGAGATCAAATCTTAACTGCATTTAGGAGTTAATCTAATGTTAGCAAACTAGTAACTTTTATTGAGTGTGCTTGGGTGTGATACTAGGTGCTGTTGAAATACCACATGTGATAGCTTGCTGGGTTCTCTGAAGCAAGCAAAATTTCTTCAAATGCTTGTGAACTCAGGCCAAAGCCACAGCATCATTTACTCCTAAGGACAAGCTTTTCTGCAAATCGCCACTTTCTGAGAATTCCATGGATTCATAGAATGTTAGAGTTGGAAGGACCTTTGAGATCACCAGATCCACACCCCTCACTTTACAAAGGACAAATCTTAAATCAGGGAGAATCTCTGGCCTATCACAGTTTAGCCCTTTGTGGACCTCCCTGTGAAACAGGAGCAAAGATACTATTGAGGTGCGGTCCAGTTTGGCATCTACATGAATCTACATCTACAGTAAGATTAAAGAGAGCTTTCCTCTGCAGTGAGACGAGTTTACTCTCTGACAGGAGACCACAGGATCAGAAGTCTCAAGGTGAAAGAGACCTCTGAGGCCATCTCCTTTAATTCCCCTCATTTTACAGATAAGAAAACTGAGGCAGAGGGAAATTAAGTGACTTGCTTAAGGTTACACAGGTAGTGTCAGAAGTAGGATTTGAACTCAGGTCTTCTACTTCAGAGCCAGTGTTCTTCGTTCTGTCCTGTGCTTGAAGACCTGTGTTAAATGAGAAATAACAAAGCCAAAGGGCATAGATATATAACCATTATAAAGGTAGATTTTTATTAGCCAAAGCATCTTTAAACCTGAACTGACCAAAAACACCCTCCATGAAATTATAGAAAGAGTAGAGGTAGGGAGACAACATTTTTTTTCTTCTATTTCTTCTTCCACACTAAAGGAACAGCATTTCTAGGATGCTCCATGAAAGCATTTCCTATTCCAGGTATGACCTGGGCTTAACTGGCCAAATATCCAACCAGTGTTTTCCCTGCCATCCCTCTCCAATATCTTCTTCCTCTCTTTAAGAGTGGCTTTGGAATATGGGTATGTTGGCATATATTTAACAGCCAGCTCTCTGTGGGGGAAAATGTAGGAAGGATATACTTTTAAGTTTAACCTGCATTATTAATTAATTAATAATTAACTTTCTCCATCACTTTCTTAAGTCTAGACAGTTAACAGAACAACAAATCAAATCCTCATTTGCAGTGTTTGCCAAATTCCAAGGTGTAAACGTTCATATTCAAACTGAAAAATTTAACAATCTTCTCACAATCCTGATGACCTGGTTCCTGGAAAATATTGGAGCTTATCAAATTGATGGACCTAATCTCTGCTATCTACTATAAACAGATTGGATCTTGGGTCTTGGGATGTGTATGTTATAGTTGACAAGTTATATGAATTTTTTTTTTTGGTGAGGCAATCAGGGTTAAGTGACTTGCCCAAGGTCACGCAGCCAGTAAGTGTCAAGTGTCTGAGGCTAGATTTGAACTCAGATGACAAGTTATATGTTAGTTGGCCAAATCTAATGAGATGATTTTTAAGGGGGATACATGTTAAATCCTATACAGAGGCAGTATGGCTTAGTGGATAGAGCACTGGATTTGGACACCTCCATCACTGTTTAATAGCTGTGTGGCCACAGGGGAAGGGGAAAGGAATAAGTATTTATATAGTGCCTACTATGTACCAGACACTATGCTAAGCATTTTTCAAATATTATCTCATTTGATCCTCATAACCACACTGTAAGCTAGGTGCTGTTATTATCCCAATTTTGCAGTTGAGGAAATTGAGGCAAACAGAGGCTAAGTGACTTGCCCAGGGTCACACTACTAAGTGTCTGAAGCTGGATTTGAACTCATCTCTTCCCAACTCTAGATACAGTGCTCTATGCACTGTGCCACTTAGAAATGAAAACAACGTAGACATAATATAAAATGTACTACCTTTGGGGTAAGGGTAAGGGGTGAGGGTAGTGAATTTTCTCTTAAGGGAGATCTTCAAGTGGAAGCCGGATGGCCCCTCGCCAAAGCTGTTGTTGAGAGTCCTGCTTCCAAAAATGACTGGACTAGCTGAGGTCCCTTACTTAACTTCATTAGTTAAATTAAGTTAATTCCCCGGGGCCATAATACCCTGTAACTCCAGAAGAGGCAGCCTAGAGAGATTTTTAAACCCTCCTGATAGAAGTTAACCAGACAAAAGTGCCTGTGGTTAGTGCCTGTTGTTCCATACTCTGGATCCAGAAAGGCAGAGTCAGCATCGATGCACCTTAGATGATGCGCTCTCTCTGTCTCTGTCTCTGTCTCTGTCTCTGTCTCTGTCTCTCTCTCTCTCTCTCTCTGTCTCTCTGTCTGTGTGTCTCTCTCTGTCTCTGTCTTTCTGTCTCTGTCTTGTCTGTCTCTGTCTTTGTCTTTCTCCCTCCCCAACACACACATATTATATTTTAGAATATAAAATAAGAAGTGCTCCCTTTGACATTCAAAGTCCTTGAAAACTTGGTCTTCACGTGCTTTTCCAGTCTTCTTATACCTTCATGACCCTCACTTACCAGCGACACTAGCCTCCTTGCTGTTCCTCTCTTAAGACACTCTGTCCCCTGACTCTGGCCATTTTCACTGGCTAGTTCTTAAACCACAACTGGTTACCTTGAACGCAGTGCTATGAACATAGTGGTAGGTTTCAGTCAATACTTTAGGAATTAGAATGATTGTATTTGACTCCAACAGACCTAATCTCTGCTATGTACTATAAACAATTGGAACAAGGATTACATCACCCCTTCCCACCTTGGCCTTCCAGTCTTATGTGAATGGTTAACTCTAACTCAGCTAATTATTGACATTCTTATAGAAAAACATGGGTAGATGACGTGATTTTAACCTTTAGTCCACATAGCAGGTTGCATACCCATTAGTATTAAATTCCTTTGCTGGTCTGATGCCCTCAGCTTTGGAGTTCTATTTTATATTCAGGATGTATATATATATTTATACACACACACACACATACACACACACACACACACACACACATATGTATATATATGTATATGGAATTATCTGGAAAAACATTTTTTTTTCTTTCCTGACTTCGGTGAGAAAGCTGGGTGCAGTTTTAACTGTCCCTAGATTAAGTTGGAGCATCATTCATTAGGAGAGTATTGGTTATTTAAAAAGCACAGCTCAGAGCTACACGCTCACCTTCCTTCTTCAGACTCAGACAAAAGTAAAAAGGGGAAATAATAACAATTCAATACAATGCTTTAAAGTTTACAGAGTGTTTTCCTCACAACACTTCCATAGGGTAGTGATTATTAGATTTATTATAAGTGAGTATTAGAGAGGTAAAGTAATTTGGCCAGAATCACATACAGCTAGTAAATGTCAGAGGCAGGAGCTGGCAGAGACTTTAAACCTGGAGATCTGTGAATTTGTATTTTTTTTTAAAATTTTGATCATTATATGATTGGTTTCCTTTGTAATTCTGTGTATTTTATTTTATGCAGTTAAAAAACCTACTATTCTGAGGAGTCCATAGGCTCCATCAGATTGCCAAAGGGTCTATGACACCAAAAAGGTTAATTTGTTTATGAAATAACCTTTTATATCTAAGTCATGTATCTATTTGGAGCTTATCTTGGTATATGGTGTGAGGTATTGCTCTAAACCTAATGTCTGCCAAACCTGTCCAGTTTTCTCAGCAATTTTTGTTGAATTGAATTCTGCTATTATTTTTTCAGCCTCTCTAAATAAACTTTTGGCAGTTTGCTTGGTATAGTACTAAATAAGTAAATTAATTTCAGTAGTATTGTTATTTTTCTTGTATTTTCCTAGCCTACATGATATTCCACCATTTATCTAGGTGTGTCTTTATTTCTGTAATGAGTGTTTTACAGTTATATTCATAGAGGTTTTTTTGTGTATCTTACTAGGTACACTCACAAGTATTTTATATATTCTATAGATATTTTATTTTTTTAAAACACATTTTATTTGTTTTAATCAACCAAAATTTGCCTTCTCACTCCCGCAGCAATTGAGAACACAAAAAAATCAATCATTAACAACAAATAATAATCAATCAAAACAAATTTCTATATTGGTCATGTCTAAAAATATCTTTATTTCAAACTGCATTTTGAGTTCTTCACCTTTCTATGATGAGGTGGCTACCATGTTTCTCCATTAGTCCTCTGGAATTGGGATTGGTCATTATGCTAAGAGATCAGAGAACACGGTAGTATTCCATCATATTTTATATACCATAACTTAATCATCCATTTTCAAATTTATACCCCACCCCACTCAAATTCCCATTCTTTGCCACCTCAAAAAAAAAAAAAGTATAAATACTTTTGTACATCCTTAGAGTTTTTTGAGTTTAGAACTAACCCTTCCACACACAAGCCTATCTGTCCTCTCTTTAATTCCTTCTCCCCCCTTCTCCACTTTCTATCCTATTTCCCTGTTGAGTGAAGTGTATTTCTGTACACAAATTGGTGTGGTTGTATATGTATTCTTCCTTCTTTTGACCAGTTCAAATGAAAGAGAGGTTCAAGTGTAATCCATGCCCCATCATGTTTTACTCCCTACTTGTGTAGATGTTTACTTGTGCTCTCAATTTTGTAAGATAGCTTTCCTGACAAGTCTAAATTTGGTTCTGCAGCTTATATCCACTGTTCCTACCCTCTCAACCTCAACCTCAACCTCTAAATCTACCCTCTCAATCAAGTTGTTGTTGTTGTTCAGTTGTTTTCAGTTGTGTTTAACTATTCATGACCCCTATTGGGGGTTTTCTTGGCAGAGATACTGGAGTCATTTGCCATTTCCTTCTCTAGCTCATTTTACAGATGAGGAAACTGAGGCAAGCAGGGTTAAGTGACTTGTCCAAAGCCACACAGCTAGTAAGTGTCTGAGGCCAGATTTGAACAGGAAGATGAGACTTCTTAACTCCAGGCCTAGCACCCTATCCAGTGAGCCACCTAGCTGGAAGCATAATCCCTCTTCTATATAGACAGCCCTGCAAATACTTAATGTCCCCCCAAGTCTTGTCTTCTCCAGGTTGGCCATCTCCTAGTTTCTTCAACTGATCCTCATATGATGTAGACTTAAGGCCTAATATGACATGGACCATTATGGAAATGATAATAGTTACAACAAAAATGCATGTTTTTAAAAGTAGGTGTAAGGATGGCAGCTAGACCTATGAATTCGTTTGGTATAGGGAACTTCCAGGTGAGAAAATTCCCTCTACCAAAGGGATTTTTAAATATTTTTTTCTTCATTTTTTTAAACCTTCTAAAAATTTATTTATCTATTTTTAGTTTTCAGCATTCACTTCCACAAGATTTTGAGTTTCAAATTTTCTCCCCATCTCTCCCCTCCCCCCACCCCAAGATGGCTAAATTTTTTTCTTTAAATACATTGTGTGGTATCAATAATGGTACATCTGGGGCTTCCACTCTATAATTTCCCCCCTTTTTTCTGATTTGAATATAATTTTAGTTCATCAGTTCTTTATATGTTTGAAGAAGAAATATTCTCTTTGGCCTTTTATTTTTCAGATGTTTTTTAAAAAATTTGTGCCTTCTTACTGAATTTTTTTCCAGTTTTTATATTTTAAGTCCTGTTTATTAAAAAAATAATTTTTTTAAATTTAAAAAATGTTTTTATATCTTGTTTGGGTAGTGCCCTCTTTCAGGAACAATC